ACAATAACTATACATCAGTACAAAAACAAGTTGAGATTCGCTACCTGAACATCCATACTAGACTAGTACAACAATTTTAAATAGGCGTCTGGAAATATGATTTGGGATCATGATTTCGTATCCAGATTCTCCAAAACACAGGATTTGAAATTTCAATTATTATTTTTAAATGACTTAACACATTAGTTTATAATTTGACAAAGATAACTCATCATTTTAAGTTTTGCGAAAAACAAATCATATTTGACGTAGTGATTGTTCATACCATGTGAAAGGATTATATTAAAGAACAATTAGTTACTCCCTCCGTCCCATTTTATATGAGGTAGTTTGACTCGACACGAAATTTAAGAAAGAAAGAAAGACTTTAAAAACCTGCGGTCCAAAATGAATGATAGAAATTTGTGTGACTGTAAATCATTTTATTAAGGGTAAAATATATATTTTATAGTTAAATTGTTACTTAATATAGAAATGTGTCATTCTTTTGGAGACTGACTAAAAAGGAAAGTAAGTCACATAAATTGGGACAGATGGAGTACTATTATTGTTAACTAGGGTAACTTTATAAAATTATGTATATATGAAAGTTTGTAATCCAAAGTTTATCTATTTCAATTTATGTAGCACGTATAAAATTAGAAGAATCAACGTAGTTTTGATATAATTTTTAAATATCTTAAGTTGTTGATATTGTGATTTATAGTACTTTTAACGTAATTTTCAAATAATATATGTTACTCTCCCTGTCTCAGTTTATGTGACATAACTGAAAATTTAAGTCAATCAAATTTTTAATATATTTTAAGTTATTAATTATGATGATTTATAATACTTTTTAAAGTAATTTTCAAATAATATATGTTATCTATCTATTTCGATCTACGTGGCATAGATAAAATTTCGATAGTGGTGTTTGGCCAGTGCTAAGCACAGGCTCAATGTTCTAACAGTAAAACAATTTTTTTTATAAAAATTCAAAATTTTAAATTATGATCGTGAATTTAAACATAGAAGTTTTATATTTCACGAAATATAATTTATATATTTGTTAATTATATAAAAATTATTATAAAACACAATAACTAATTTTTTAAAATTATTTGAAATGCATAAAATGTACCAATAAAAAAATTAATTAACTCTAAAAAATTTAACGGTTCCACATAAATTAAGACTGAAAATAAATATATAACATGTGAGGTACTGGTCACTAAAATAAGCATTATAAAAAGACATGAAAACATTCACTTTGTCAAAATTTACAAGATAAATATTTGTAATAATAATAATAATAATAATAATAATAATAAAAAAGGACATAAGGGTAAGTATACCAAAAATGCCCTTATGATAAGTAAAGGGTAAAACGTATATGTTGAATGCGAATTATCGTTTACGTGTAATATGTTTCTCTTCTCTTTCGCATGCTCAAGTCTCATATGATAGGTTTTATAAGAAGTACAAGTAGGCCGACATAAGAGTTAAAAGACACACAATTTATCGAGGACATGATGCTAGATAATATGATATGAAAGTCGATAATTAGGGTAGAATGCTAGTAATAGGTAATCAAGAATTATTTAGTTTTTCGAGATAGTGTCAAAAACACACCTAAACTAAAAATATTTTCAATTTTGCAAAACCATTTTTTACACGTGGTCAATTATGATTCGGCCACGTCATTAATTAAATCATTTTTAAAAGGGAAAAGGCTCAAATATGTCATTGAACTTTAAGAAAAGGCTCATCTATGCACCCGTTAAAAGTTTGGTTCACCTATGCCATTTCAGCTAATAAATAATTGCATGGATGAACCTTTTCTCAAACGTAAATAACATAAATGAACTGAACTTTTAACGGATGACATAGATAAGCCTTTTCTCAAAGTTCTATGACATATTTGAGCACTTTCCCTTTTTGAAGTTATGCAATTTATCAATGCGACACCTTAGTAAAAATTAGGCAAATGACATAGTATAAGAAAGAAATTACTTCCTTTCCCTACTCTTTCATTAATTACCAAAAATTCCTTTTTTAGTGTTTTTCGGATACTTAATATAGCAGCGCGGATACTTTAATTAATAACGAACGGATACTTAAACTAATAAAGTATCCGGTTAAGTTGAAATGGGGGAAAATAAGGGATTTTTGTATTTTAGTAAAAGAGTAGGGAAATATTGAGAATAGGTAAAGAAGTGTTGTGTATTTAAGTAATTTTTCCAAAAAAAAATCTAAAACTTTGGACCAAATGTACAACTATACAAAAACATATTTGCTCCCAACTGGGGAAAGACTCTAAACAGTCTAAAGCTCACAAGTAAATCTCTAGCAATTGAAATGTAGGAACAAATCTGCACACAAGAAACCCAGTCTTCAGATATGTTGCCTTTCAGTGCTAGCGTCACTTGTAATTGAAAAACCAAAACCATACGTTCCGTTTCCGGTTCCAGTAACTTCTAAGATGAAAACTGATGCTGTTTACACACACACCAGAGGAACCGTTGAACTTGCTGTTTCGAGTTCCTGAAAATTCAGAAACCACATACAATATCATGAGAATGAACAGCTACTTTGTTCCAAAGGAAACTATTGAAATGTTAAAATGTGCAATGTGCAATACCATAAACTTAGTTCTAATAACTTCTAAAATGAGAACCAATGTTTAGACACAAGCCATAGGAACCACTGAACTAGCTGTTTCGAGTTCCTGAAATTTCAGAAAAACATGTGTAAGATCATCAGACTGAATAATTCCTTTGCTCCAAAAGCAATTATTGAGATGCTAAATATGCAAATGTCCAGATATAAGTCCTGATGATTGACCAAATATATTTATAGATCGATATCAAAATGTGCAGACATCGGAGTCTGACCTCCAAAAAGACCTACATGTATGCATACACCATATACTGCTTTATCAAAAATAAGACTAATCCAAGATCTAATTCTTAATTGCGAGAGGCAGTCAGCACATCATTATTTCTTACAAGTCATATCGTAAACAGAATAGGAAAGGGGAGAACAGGAGAGTAATCTCTTCTCTTTTTATTTTATTTTATGAAGTAATGATAATATCATTAATAGCATCCATAAGATGCAATTTAGAAAAGGTATGGATTCTATACAAAACTTAAGAAGCCAAGGAAATCCAAGAAAATATCATTTACATCCCAAATTCTTACACCAACAAGAAAGATTTGGAACACATTAGCAGAAAGATCTGAAAGACATTGGCTTCAAAAATGGAAAAATTGCTGAGATCCCCTCAAAGCATCTACTGTTTCGTTTCCACCAAAGAATCCAAAAAATGCAACAAGGAGTGATCTTGCAGTTCTATTAATAGGACCAAAACAAGTGTGTGATTCTCTTATGTCAAATATATCAATAGTAACAGATAAAAGGAACTGGGCATAAAGTGTGTGCACTCAAATTCTAATCCAAAAATTGGATTATAGTTGACTGAAACTTTTAGTTTACAGATATAGCCACATACCATCTAATGAGCTGCAGCTTTTCACTTCCAAGAGTTAGTTCATGGTATGTCCATTTCTATATATAGAGTGAGCCAATTCACTAACTTAAGGAAACTGAATTCACTAGGACAAGTTAACTTGGGTCAGCCTTATTCTCATCAAATATGACATTATCTTCATTCAACTCTATCGAAAACTATCATTCTTTTAATAGGTGTATCCTTCTTTGGGCTTCGAAACCATTTAGACCTCTTCTTTTCTTAACTCATCTTCTACAGTTGCTACTCAATGATGGTTTTCAAGTTAGTAGCACCGTGTGAAGTAGGAAAGTAATAATTCTGCACATGCTCTCACCTTGCACTCAATAACCAAAAAAGAGATTATTCCCAAGGAGAGTCGAGTCTATTTACTCAACTATCTAATAAGATTGAGACCAATTTACTGTAGAGTGACAATTTACACATCTTTTTGGGCCACTTCGACTAGGATGAATCTTCCCCGTTTTTGCTTGATCTAGCTTGTCACTTTCTTTTAAATATCCAACTTCTAATTATTAATCTGAACCTCCGATTTGTTATTCTACTATTTCTTATATCCCAGCTTTTTAACCTGATAGCACAACTAATCCAAGTACTCCAAGGAATCCTCTCTGACATTGACCAAGACAAATCTGCCACAAAAACTCAAAAAGCACTAGTCTACATAACAAAACCTGCTTAAAAAATCCATGGAACATCCTCTTCACATTCTATAGATATGCAAGTATGTTTTCTCCTCCCAAGTGTTTTGAAGTTTTTTAGGCTCAATATAAGTTTCTGTTATCTTTATATACTAACTGGAATCAGCGGTGCATCCAGGATTTGAAGTTTATGGGTTTAAGTTCAGGAGATGGTTTGGACATGTGAAGAGACGGGGCGCAGACGCCCCAGTGAGGAGGTGCGAGGGGCTGGTAGTAGAGGGTACGCGGAGGGGTAGAGGTAGGCCCAAGAAGTATTGGGGAGAGGTGATTAGACAGGACTTGGCCCAGCTACACATTACCGAGGACATGACTCTAGATAGGAAGGAGTGGAGGTCACGTATTAAGGTTGAAGGTTAGTAGGGTTAGCGTGTTGTCGTTCATTGCAAGGGTATGGGTTGTTAGCGTTTGTAGTAGTCTTAGCCTTGCACTTGTAGTTCTTGTCTGTGATTCCTATAGCCTTATGTTGTTTACTGCATTTCACTTCTCACATTATTTTCTTGATGTATTGTCCCCTTTGTTGATTATACACTATTTTTCTTATTGGATGTTATGTTTTATATATTTCTCTTCCTTTACTTGGCTTTGTTGCACTTGAGCTGAGGGTCTCCCGGAAACAGCCTCTCTACCTCCACGAGGTAGTGGTAAGGTCTGCGTACACTCTACCCTCCCCAGACCCCACCTAGTGGGATTTCACTGGGTATGTTGTTGTTGATGTTGGTGATGCTTGTATCCTTTGCAATGCTTTTGTATAGTTGCCTTGCCATGTTTTCTTCACTGTCATTATACCTTTTCATTACTACTTTGATCTGCTTCACTTGAGCCGAGGGTCTTTAGGAAACAACCTCTCTATCTCCATGAGGTAGGGGTAAGGTCTACATACACTCTACCCTCCTCAGACCCCACTTTGTGGAATTTCACTAGATATGTTTTGTTGTAGAAATCTGTTATTTGTACTTATCTAGTGGTTCTTTTAAGTTTTAACACATATACAGGGTCTGAGCCAGTCACTAGTTTCAAAGCTACTATTGGAATTTCTGAAGCCATGTGAAATTCTTAACTATTCGCTTTCGATAGGTCTCTATTTCACTATGATATATGAAAATCTAATGTTTCACAAGATCTTTTGTTTGCTATCTCCAAAGTGCAAGCAATGGCAATTCACAGCTTTTCCAAAACCCAGCCTTTAGGTTATAGTTTCACAATGACAAAAACATTCTGAGAAACCCCTTTCCTGGGAAGTCTTACTTTGACATTAAGGATAATTTAACCATAAATCAATTTGAAGAAGAAAAAAACTTTCTAGGTAAATGCCTGTGAGCATACGCAAAAGAATGACCCATGATTATTCATAGAAAAGGTAGCTTTTCTAGCAAGATGAATGAGAAGTAAAAAGCCAAACAATATCCACCGTATTTTCTCTTTACAGATTGTCAAAGTTAGGCATAAGGACAGCATTAGCATCTTTTATCTTCCCAAATGTTTGACTTCTACGCTTCCAGAAAGTAGCCTCTGTTGCTTGGAATAACTACCTCAGTAGCAGTACAGATAATGAATACATGACAAAAGATGAGATGCTATATTGCAAATACTCTGTTTGGCACAATAAGGAGATCCCTAGGAACCACATAGAGTAGCTAAAGTAATCTTTACACAGAAGGCTTTCTTCACAAATGACTGTGGCCCCATGTTAAATATAATTTGTGGCTGTTCACTGAATATATTTGTGACATAACAATGTCTGGAGATAATATCAACCAACATTAAAGCAGCCACTGATATTACAGCCATTTTCTTGAACGAAACGAAAAATAAAAAGAAAAAAAGAATCCCGTCACCCGAATAAAATAATTTTCTGTCAGCAGGAACATCTTTGATCCATCCCTTTTCAACTATTTTTACTTTATCTTGGTTTTTGTTTCCAGGCAGATATTTTCGTGAAGGATCTGTACATATTTATGGGTGCAAAATGATGTTAATGACGTCAGTTTACTGGAAAAAAGATGCAAAAAGGTGATAAAGAAGGAATCTCCCTTGAGCTGTAGTACCAACTGACATGCTTTTCAAAAGAAAATGTGAAAATAGTATTTCATTTCCTCTACAGATCTTAAATTGAGGTGCTTAATAATAGTGCAATCTGGGTAAGATCAAAACTGAGTCTTAGACCAAGGAGAAAAACAAGAGAGGGTAATTTGCAGCCCAAATGCATAATGACCGCCTCTAACCTTCCAGGTTTCCTATCAAGATAACTTTTAGTTTATCAATGCATCAATATGCACCAAACATATAGTTTCTACGCTTCATATTTGATTATATCATTCAAAAACCTTCCAGCAATATGTGTTCAAGTTTTACATTTTATGTTGTTCAGAGCATCTTATTGAAATAATAAACTTGAGAAACCTCCCAATACAAAAGTGGTCAATGACCTATTTCAATTAAATTAACAAATATAAGATTCGCCAATGCAGTAAAACAAGGCTTCATTGATCAACGAATGAAAACCTTCAAGTTTCATGCACAAAATCAAATCCAAAACTTCCAATAAGAAACCTATACCACAAAAGTAAAAAACAAGTTGAAAAAATCATTAATTGCTGCATGAAAGGAAGGTTTCCCTGAGAAAAGCTGTACCTGACGCATTTGAGAAACTTCTGGAGTGTTACATACTGGAAGTTTTAAATTGTGCTGATCCTGTTGCTGTAGATCTAGCTTTTCTAATTTCTTTTCATAAAGTGCAAACTCCTCAGGCTTCTCCCACTGTTTGCATGTTTTCAGGCATTCATTGCATTTTGAGGGGCATGGATCAAGTGAGAAAAAAAATTGGACAACTAATGAAATCTTACCCTGCTTTCACACGTTACACAGTTATAATAATATAAGTTTCCATCAGGACAGATATGGTCACTCCATTCACAATCTATGGACTCCACCATCTCAGCATTTAAAGATTTTGCATTGACAAAAGATGCAGCTGATGGCAAAACATTATCTGATCCAACAAGAGTGCTGAAAACTGTCTGAGGATTGCTTCTGTTATTTGGAGTCTGCAAAATGCAACAGATACTTGAAACATCTTCTTTTTTTTTTGCTTTGTGTCTTTCATTGGTAATTCTGTAATGGGGGTTGCACATTATTCAAATAGGAAAGATCATTTGCTTTGGGATAATAAGATCAAGATCCTTTCTCAAAAAGGCAAAACAATTAAGCTCGTACAGCACAAAATTAGATGTACTCGCATAAGAAACTTACAGCTCTTGATAGAAATTGTTAGGCCATTTTAATAGTAAGACACGTGTTACGACATGTTGCCATCTACTTAATCAGAAATATTGAACAATAACCTGATTTGGACTCTGGTGATTAGACTGGTTAGCTCCTATATTCCCATTGAATTGCTCATTCATAAGGGATGGCGCCCTGCAAGATGTAAGTTCCACATACGGCAATCAGCAAATAAAAATACGAGAGGTGATATACTAAAAGCTAGTCTAATGTACTTTAACCAGAACAGGACTTGCATAAGAAATGCACTGGAAAGAACTGAATGAATAATAGAATGGGGCCAGATAAGAACAAGTACCTATAGCGACTTGTTACAGAACATACGAGATGCTAGAAAAGATGCCTGAGGGAAGTAGAAGCAGTTTTATAAAAGGCAGAGGCATGAGACAAAGCATTTTATCACACGTGGGGTGAGGCATAAGCCCCAAGGCACAGGACTCATAAGTTCCCTGAATATTTAATTTTTTCCATTTTTATATAAAAACAAAATAAACATAAACTTACGAAAAAAGTTTAAAACTACATAAGCAATTGTATGAATTTTTTTCATAAGGTAAATAATTTTATTGAAATCGGAAATTCATAATTCCAATAGAGAATACAACTTTTATCATTCATTTGCTAAAGAATTTTGAGGGTCAACATTGCTAATTAGAAATTAGCCACATGATTTGCGTACGAACTGTTGGGCAAGCCCCAAGCGTTAAGCGTGTTTAAGGCCCAAAACCAGGCGCTTGCGGCGTAAGCCTCACAAAACAAAGCCCCACATGTGAGCCTCAAGGTGTTCTGCAAGCTCGAAGAAGCCTTTAAAACACTGATCATAACACTTTAACTTTCTCAATCAAGAAAATCTCTGATATCACAGTAGGAGAGAAGAGTATCAATTCCATTCTAGTTTCTTAAATTTGTGTTTAACTTTTCATCCTAATTTACTACTACTTTGTTTATTCAGAAAAAGTAATTGACTCATCCTACAAAAAGAGGTACTCCTAAACTAGCAATGGTTGATCCATCCAAAGATAAAGGAAAAATAAAAAAAATCCAAAGAATGGTGCTTACCTCGACTCTCCCACCTTGGGCTTCTTAGGATCTGCAAATCGAATAACCAACGGGTGCTCACATACCTGAACCACAAGCGAATGGAGAAAGGAGATTTGGTTTCAGATCAGAACTAGATATATACATTAATGGTTTAATGCAGGGACTTACTTCAATTATATAGGTGCCATGTAGTGCATTCATAGCCGCAACTGCCATGTCTCTACAAGCAAACCTGATAAAAGCACTTCCTTCGAGGCAAGAATAATATCAACATCAAGAAGAAAAAGTTGAAATACAAAGCAAGTATAGACAATCCAGAAGTAGGTGTGCCGACATTATATTTATGTAGAGGCAGCATGAATAATAAGCATGGCACCAAATATAGCAAATGCAACTACACTGTTCAAACAGGTCAAGGAGCACTTGATTAGTAAAATTAAGGAAGATGTACCACCAGCTGAACTGTTGGCAGTATCTAGAGAAGCAGCCATAGCGACAAAGAAACATGTCTAAGGCCTCATATGTTTTCATTAAGATTAAGATGTATGAGCCTGAATGCACATTTGAATGATTAAGATCTTGTCTCTAGGATCTGGACACTGAATGATTAAGACTGCTTGTTATTAAACATCTGAATATATATATATATATATATAAAAATTATAATAATAAAAGTAATTTTTAGAAAACAATGTAGTCATCTTTTTTTACTTCAAACACACATATATATGAAGTTGTTGCGAACTTTAGTCAAATAAAAATTTTACAATAAATTTTATCAATTCTTGATAAACAAGCTGCAAAAACAAAAATTAAAAGCTTAAGGAAAATATTTTTGGGTAATTAATAAAGTTGAAGAATGAGAGAGGCTCGAATCTTTTTTGAAGAAAAATATATAGAGCACAATTTTATTTTCAAAACTAAAACTGTCTTTAAAAGGGTCTGAATGAGAATAAGACTCTGTCACGGATCTGATTCATTCAGACCCATTAAGAGATTTTAAGTAAAAAAAACAAACACACTTAATGGCCTAATGTATGAACCATTCAGATTCAGACTTCCATTAAGTGCAAACAAATGAGGCCTAAAACTAGGCACAGTAAGAGAGCATCATTGCAAACTGTTGCCAAATGCAAATACTCCTGCAAATTAGATGCCAAAATAATAATGAGAGAAGATAGTGGTTGTTACATACCACGACGTTGTTTTAGTTCATCAGCAATTAAGTAGATTTCTTCAACAATCCCATATGGAGAAAATACCTGCCAGCAAAGGCGTACATACAAATTCAAAACTTTTCCATTGGCTCAAAAGTGAAACAGATAGTACCGTCTCTTATCTGTGACTTCGTTTGACAGTGTATAATAGATCAAGGATTTAATTGCACTTCATACAATATTTATAGAGGTAATGAAATGAGCATTGACTAATAGGAGGACACAATATCATGATATGAACTCATCTTTCAAACATCAGAACGGAATAAAGCTTGTTATTTGGCATAGTTTATGATGCACTTTACTAAATCCTAAATCAAAAAATGTGCCAGGTAAAAGTGGGACGGAGCAAGTTCTAATCTTCATCAGTTATATCCTCTAGATGAAAATTACAATTGATAAACCCATACTAATGACATTACTAAAAAAGTAGTTTCTACATATTGCTTCATCCAATGGCACTAAGTACACAAAAGCTTGAGTTTGTGCCCAATACATATTATCTATAGATACAAGAATCGAAGCATGAAACATGCAGATTCTCTCTCTCTCTCTCTCACATACACATACACACACACACACACACACACTCACACTCACACTCACACACACATATATAGACACACACACAGAGAATGGACAAATTGAACAAAGAGTAACAGCAAAAACTGAAGGAGCAAAAGGAAGATAGAGTCTAGATGTCTTGGTTAAACGCATATATGTGGAGCATACATGCTCAATTTCATTTTTGGAAGCTTGTTTCCTCAGACCACCAACATAAAGTTTCTGAGTGTGTTCGGTCAAGATTCCTACAATAAGAGAAAAAGGAGGTAAAAATGGAGATAAAAATAATAAAGCATTGGAAATAAATACAGAGAGGCACAACGAAATAACTTAAAATTCAGACTGTATACACTTGAGAAAATATCCCATGTCAATTCAACAAAAATATTTTGAACTTCCCAAGAATTAGTCTGTTTACTATTATTCTTAATATTTATTTATTTTTGATAAGGTACTATTATTATTCTTAATATTGTTTAGTACAGTGAAACAGTCTTATCCTTACTATGTGTTTTCCTGGAAAATAAAATTGCAGTCATACACGAAGCTTAACATAGCAGGTGGGGAGTGAGTTTGGTGGATAATGTAAATAGTGGAAGGGTTCTAATTTGCTTTAGTTAAAATTTGACAAAGCATATGATAACTATATTATATTTTATAAATTTAAACAGAGATAGTGAAAAATTACCAAGACGATCACGTTCCCCATCAGCATACCTAACTGTTAAGGGAAACTCACCCTGCAAAGCAAGAAATATAAACAAACCAAGTAAGAGGAGATCAATAATTTCTTGAGAGGGTAAATCATTCTAACTTCATAACAGAGAAGGAAACTAACCCCAGGGAAAGTATATCGACCATTGAATGCTACAATAGCCCTATTAGCTTCATCTAGCGTTCTATACTTCACAAAACAGCATTCTGCAGAGTAAATCATTATTCATTTTTGTTCTTCTTAAAGAAAAACAATTCATTTTTATTCTGATACCTATACTTGTCAAAAAGATAATATTATACTTCCAGATGATACATGTGCAGGGAATATAGTGAACATAAACAACAACAACCCAGTGTGGTCCCACAAGTGGGGTTTGGGGTGAGTGGGGTTTACCGTTTACGTAGACCTTACCCCTGACTTTGTGGGGTAGAGAGGCTGTTTCACAGAGGGGAAAAAGAATAAATCCTGGTAATTTAAATGATTCACAATATTTAAATTGCATTTAACTGCTTTGAACTACTTTAGTAATACAGAACCCAGTACAGATGACAGGACATTTGATTAACCAACATCACCAATGTAAACTACAACTAGTACACTAGACAGATAGCCTGGCAACTGCAACTGTTACAACATTCCTCTACCTTTCCTCAGACCGGTGCCTTTATCCGTGAGACGAACAAACTCAACAATGTGCCCATGTGCAGCAAAAACAGACCGGACCTGAATTGAAAGAGCGTGTATCAATATGTAGGAATATTTTCAAAATGCCCAGATAATGAACATAGTCAAACATGGAATCTGCAAGCACTTGAGTGATGAAAATTCAATTTTTTAACATCCCGTTGAAATGGAACGTAACTGGATAATTGGACAGGGAAAGCCTGTACATATTGATTCGGACCGAAGCTAGTGGTTAACGGATTCTACCTACACGAATGGATATCTATTACTTTTCTGTACATATTATTTGGAAATGTTAGTTGACGCCTACTACTTTGGCATTGAGGTGGTGTTGATTAATTTTAATTGAATACCAGGATACTATATAATATCCATTTGATGCGGTTAATCCAAGACAAATGAAGTATCTATGTATACCATAGGATACCTAGAATTCACAAAGATTAAGGAGTAAAAAATGAATAACGTAAAGTCAATATCTAGACATCACTCCCTCCAAAGAGACAGGAAAGCAAGAGAAAGTGATCAACTTACAATTAAGGTTTAATCATTGTTGGTACATGTTTTTGATAAGTAAAAAACTTCCATTGATAAACACCAAGTTAGTGTTAAAAAATATGTGCAAGATGTGTGTGGCTATACTCGAGTAATACATTGTCTTAAACATACATTTGTATAGTGTCCTCAGGAGTATCTTCATTTGGTTAGAGATTTGTATGTCAACGTAGGTTAGATGTGAGATTTCAAGTATCTCTATGTTTATAAACATTTATTCTGTCTTAAAAACCCAATTATTAGGTATTGGGATGAAGGCCTGGATAATTGAAGCAGAATGTATAGAGGCTTTATATGGCCAACCTCAGCTACTTTGGGGTCGAGACAAATAGTAGACATTCTTGTTGTTGTTGTTGTTACTATCTAAGCTCTAATTAAAAGCCTCAAGTCTCACTCTTAAGCATAACTAATAGGCAATAGCACATAGAATCCCACTTATTCAATGCAACTAAATAGAAACATAACATGGAAAAAAGAGATTATTTTTCTGAATACTCAATTGTAAGACTTACATCTTCTTCTTCTGCTGGCCTTGGAACTCCTACAACATAGAGTTTCACAAAACTGCCACAATCCAGAAAGTCTAAACAAACAAAATGCAGCAGTGTTACTTGGGAAATCCTGCTATAAATACTCAGTAAAATATACAAACTTTCCCTTTGCATCCGGAAATTCAACTAACTGAAATTACCAGCATTTTAGAATGTGTCTTTTCACCAATTTTATACAAGGTAAATTGCAACTCACAATACTCTATTGCGGTCAATTAAGTGATCGAAAATCATAAAGTCTCTGATTCAAATCCCAGCAAAGACAAAAAACACCAGGTGATTTCTTCTTATTTATCGTGGTCTGGTGAAAGGTTGGTGAAAGTATCATGTGGAATTAGTCGAGGTGGCAACTATTTACTATAGTTTCCCCATATTTAATTTTTTAAAAAACAAAATTATCAAGTCTCTCAAAAGTTAATCAAATTCACTCACGATAAGCAAAAGTGCCAAACAAATTAGGAATGAGAGATTATTTAATCGTTGGAAGAAGAACAATGCTTTGTACCAGAGCTTGCTTGATCGAAAGGTCTCTTACGGGCCGGAAAAGGCGCGAAACCACCGAAGTTTTGCTCAAAATTCGGATTCCGATGGTGATGCTGGTGATGTTGCCGGCGATTGTAGTGATTGCCGTCGCCGGGAAAGTTTCTTCTGTTATTGTCTAAGTTCCCATCGTTACGAGAGATAGAGTCGTCGGAAGGCCAATTCGGCGGTGCAGGATGAGGGTTCCGGTGAAATTCCGGCTGGATTCCCCGGCGTTCTCCGTTCCTCTGGTCCATTGAACATCAATTGTAAAATTGATTATTTGAACTTTTTATATATATTACGGGTAATTTCGCGTGAGAATTTAATATCAGTAATTTATAAAACGGAAAAGGGTAATATCACGTAATTTATAAAACGGAAAAGGGTCAAAATTGCCATTGAACTATGTGAAATAGACAACTTATACCCTCCGTTACATTTTGAGATAAAAAATATCCGCGATGTTATTCCTAGAGACCACAAATACCCCTCAAAAGTTAACAACCCAAATTGTTAAGACGTGGCAAGCCATGTGGAACTGATCTCTCCACCTAAGCTGCCAACTAAGATTTCCACTAACCCATTCTTGCTAACTATCAATTCATCCTCCCAAATCAACAATATTTGGGATACGAAATTTCATTTACATTGTGGAAACACTATCTCCAGTATTTGCTAACCCAATTTTAACTCTCCAATATTTGTTTGATTATTGTACGAATTAAAGCAATCTAAATTTTGAGAGGTTCAAAATTTAGATTTGTAAGACATACCTGTATCTTCTGTATGTATGAGGGGAATATACGGCTAGATGATTTTAACTTTGTTCTTGTTTTTTGTTGGATAATACAATTTTAGGAGATTCAGATTAAAAAAAAAAAAAGTAAAAAAAGTTAGTGTTAATCCTAGTTGGCAGCTTAGATGGAAGGATCAGTCACACATGGCTTGCCATGTCATTAAAAATTTGGGTTGTTTAACTTTTGAGGGGTATTTGTGGTCTCTAGAGATAACAGTGAAGGTATTTTTGAGCTCAAAATGTAACGGAGGGTATAAGTGGTCTATTTTGCATAGTTCATCGGCAATTTTAACCCTTTTCCATTTATAAAATAATACTTAGAATCTGGCCGGCATTAAAACTAAAACACTATACTCCCTTTGTCCCTAATTACTTGTTCACTTTTTCTTTTATAGTTGTCCTTAATTACTTGTCCATTTTGACAAATCAAGAAAGGACAAAAAATTTTACCTATTATACCATTAATTAATTACTTTGAAAAATGTAGAACTTTTTGAAAATCTTAAATTTTTAATTCATCCACTTCATAATTAATAGGAGTAAAATGGTAAACTCACTATGTCAATTATTGTTTTCTTAATAGGTGTGTCAATTCAAAAGTGGACAAGTAATTAGGGACAGAGGGAGTATTATCTTACGTATAAGATTACGTAGTAAGAAACATTGATAATGTAAAGGAAAATGAAAATTATTACACATTATCACTTATCCTTGATAACATAAACATAAATTAATGACTATAAAAATACATATATTTAACATAAGTAACGGTGTCAGTGAGTCACTCAACAGGAGCAACGTACAAAAATATTTAATTGTGAAGAAGAAGAAGAGGTTCAAAAATTTCATTGTTTTAAAATGAGAGGAAATCCCTATATTTATAGACAACAAAGGGTAGTGTCAACAAATATTTATTGTGCCTTATCAGAAAGATTACAACTATTTGAAAAAGTTGCAACTCTTCGAAAAGGTCACAACATTTCATAAAAGTCACAATTTTTCATAAAAGTCTAGGGGTAGCTTGGCTCCATGGCTTTAAAAATGAGGCACATGCCTTAGGCCCCCAAAATCGAAGGGACTATTTTTTTGTATAACTTACCTAAATCCCATAGTATAAGACCCTAAATTACATTTTATCCCTACTCTTTTCTATTTTATAAAAATCCTTTAAAAATCAGACATCCGGATACATAAGTTTCCTCCGGATACATTATATCTGATACATCATAAACTGTTTGTTGCGCTTAATATGGAATATTAATGTAAAATTGATTTTCTTTCCCACAAATCACGCATAACTAATTTTCTTCCAACAAATCGGGCAGAACTGATTTTCTTTTCCCACAAATCACGCAGACGGATTGATATCATTCCATTCCAATCTGTAACAACTTCACAAAATTCAAAAATCAAATTTTCATCTTCTCTATCAATTCGAAATCTTGAATCTCAAATCCTCTATTGTAGATGATTGGACAAACGATTCACGATTTCAAATCATCAATTCGAAATCGGCTAGTAATTTGAATTCAATGTATCACGCAAAACTAATTGGACAACCTTGGTTGCTGCTAACAAGCTCCCTCTGTCAACTAGTAAGTTTCTATTCTCTCTTTTCATCTTTCGTTATTAAATTTTAATTTGATTTCAGAAAAGTTATTTCATTTCTTGTTCAGAGAAAATTGAAGAATTTGAGACGAAAACATTAATGAAATCAAGAAACAAAAATGGGAAACAATCATCATTGATTGATATAACGAATGATTCCCCCATTGTTGGTCTTGCTATGGGGAATTTAGAGACTCCATCTTCAGAAATATCCAAAAAATGATTACTTGTCAAGCTAAATACTTGGTTACTCCTGGATCTTGCGAGGATTTATTGAGGGGACAAGTTAAGACTTTGTTGCAAAAGGTTGAAGAAGACGTTTTATGTT